TCTTTCCCTGATGCCTAGAGGATGGGAGGTTCAACACGCAAATGGGTGTAAGGGCATCTCGCTGGGAGATTGATCCTCCCACGCCAACAATGTTTGGACTTGCTAGCGTGCAAATATTTCCACTCGAGTAAAAGCAGAAGTTCGACCGAAGGGGATTCTGTTCAAACAACTTTCGGGTAGTTTTGCCCTTCAACTCCATTATCTCCGCGCCGAAGACTATGTCTTTGACATTGAGTTTGATTTTAGGAACGGTGATCTTCTTGTTAGCTGTATTATACCAGCTGAGCTTTGGCAGAGTCACTTCGTGATTTTTTTGGTCATAGCAATGGTCCGTTCGTAGACTTCGTCGTAAGGACGTAACGCCGGCGTAGCGGGTGTCACCAGACCAGTCGTTCGCCCGAAGCACTATGTAGAGCGGTTTCCCTCCTTTCTTTGCTTGGCATGAATTTGTAACGGTTCGGAGGTTAGCCCCAATGAGTACGGGATCGGAACCACAGTTAAGAGCCATTTTAATCCAGGCATCATCTTTGAATATCGTCCTCCAGAGGCGATGGGATTCATCTTCGTCAATGAAAGATAATGCATTTGCCGCTTTCTTTGCCTGGAAAGGGTCCAAAGACCGGATAATAGGGTTGAGAATTTCCCATGGAAGGTTTGGCATCGTGGTTGCGATGACGCCTGTATAAACGTACAGATTAGGCTTTTGTTGTGTGAACTGTTTCGGCCTGGGGGTTTTTACTCTTATATAGTGGACAGCCACGCGTTTCTAGGGGAGCTTCTCATTTATGGGCTTTAGGACTCTATCCTCTTTGTGTTGTTTTCGTTGATTCGAACCTCAGAGTGGCAACTGGGAAATGCTTTAGGATAATCCTGTATTCTGCCACGTGCGGTTACATTCTACGCTTGGGCCGTTGAACGGTAGACCGTAATGGTCATTGTACTATATTGCGGCATATTCGGATAAAATAACACTGCAGCCCTCAGTTTGATGCGGCTTGCTCAATAATTCTTCCTCACTAAAGCCTTGGCGGTGGGACCAGAAAAGAGTGGATATATGGACGGAACATGGAGTGAAGGTTGAAACCCGGTCGAATCCAAAGTAGCTGAGGGACTACTACCTTACTACCACGGTGACATTCGTCTGATCATGCCCCACCATCTACAGCATTGTGAGCAAAATTATAGTATAAAGGGACACTGGCTTCATGACAGAGGAATCACTATCAGCCATGGAGAATCCCAGCAAAACGCCAGAAATGACGGATACACAAGGAGAGGCACCGCTGTACACACAGTCAACTTCAACCGAGGAGCCCCCGCTTCCTGGTGTTGCAACCCCGCTGCCGGTAAGAATAAGATATGAACAGACAGGACCACGCTGACCAGACAGATCAAAACCCACGACATAGAGAAGCAGACTTTGGCTGTAGAGCCCTTCCGACCCATACTCGAGGTCTTGAAGCAAATCGAAGAAGAAGATACCGAGCTTGCATTTCGGACTGCACGTCTGGTGGGGTACATTCGCTGTTTGTGGGAGTCTTGCGTTTCCAAACATACAGATATCCAGCAGCTCGAAGAGGAGAACGAAAAACTGCGGACCGGAAATATCCAGCTATGCAACGAGGGAAACCACTTGAAGCGCAGCCAAGACGAGCAAGTAGCTCGCTTGCATGCTATTGATGATGCGTTGGATGAAGTTCGGGGAAGGCTTATCGGTGTGCTCAAAGTTTGGAACGAACTGTCTGTCGGCGACTTGGCTATTTTGCCGGAAGATGGGTTTCCTCAATCTTAGTGGTTGGCGTTGAACAGGTCAAAGTTGTTTCGAAGCTTTGCACTGCCGCAATACTTCAAGCAAGTATACGATGATAGCAAGTTTTTGCTAGTCCGCCAATAGATCCCTTGATTCTGTCTCCCTAAACTTCGTTGTCTACCACGGTTGTTGAACAAGTTGATTGCTCACCGACTGAACTTCCAGCAACTCGAACAGCGTAATATGACAAGATCATCCAGGTGATCAGAATGAATAATTGCAGCTGCCAAAGTCAGCAAAGCGTGATATTCTTCGTACGCGGCCAAAATTACCTCCAGAGATAGCAGCCAGCAGCATAGGACAACTCCGAAGACCGCAACCAGAAGAAGTACAACTGCCAATCCGATCGTGCAAAGCAAAACGCAACGTAGCTGTGATCGAGTCCGGGAATGGGCTGTTGTATGCCCATCCAGCCACCATAAAAGGAAAGCCAAGCTTAGATAATCCACAAAGTGAAGAAAGAGTACGGCATCTCGCAGTGGGAGATAAATGTAAGTACCAACTAGTGAGGCTGTAACCTTGACCAAGCATGAGGAAAGGAAAAATAGTGGAAAACAGATCATCAGTGAAGATGGTGTACTGATGAGGCTTCGTAGCAGGATGCCCATCCGGAGAGACTGATGCTTGGTGGTCAACGTAAAAACCGAGAAATAGCCTTGTAGCACGTACCACCAGTAGGAAGGGAAATATGCTGGCTATACCGAGTATTACCTCTCTTATGACCTCACTTTTTCCGGCCCAGCTCAGTCCCATATAAACTACAAGTAAAACATCTTTCGGTACAGACACTGCAAGGTCAAGGGTCAGATGTAAAGGGTTCCCCCGGACTGCTCGACGAGACAATTCGAAACGGACGAGGCTGACAATTAGCAGTGCGGTGGCTAAGGCTGTATGCACCGTAGGTGGAATCTGCATGACTGGCTGGGCTTACTGGCAACGTGCAAGTATGAAGGGACTGAATTGAATTTATACTCAGGACAACCTGCTACTGGATTAGTTATGATACCATGCATGGAGGGCTCAATAATTCTATTTTTCGATCTGTAACCATCGCCTGAAAGCTGATACCACTGAGGCTCCTTCAGGGAGCCGAATGAATGCCCCTAGGAACCGGAAGTGTGTCCCTAGGAGCACAGAAGCTCCCGGGAACACATACTTGGACCCCGGGAACCAGCCTTCCGCTCCCAGGTACCAACCAGCACCTCATCAACATAGACTGCTATTGGCTACAAATGTGCTCAATAGACTAACTTTCTATACTATAAATTCTTCGAATCAACTTATTATTACGATTATATCTCTCGGGTCCGAGCGGGATCGTACCATCCTCCCTGGAGCCTGTTGACCGGTCATGTCTTCGCGGCTTTCATCTCTTGGATCTTCAGTTGGAAATTCGGGGGGTAATATGGATTGGACCTTGCCAATTGATGGACCACAAACTCCCCCGCCTACCCGATTAGCGCAAACTCCGCAAATAACGCCGTCCAAAGCCCCCTCTGCATCCGAGAGAGAACATATTTGCGCAACCACCGGGGGGAAAGGTGTGCTTCCCTCACAGACTCGCGACCGCTGGACTAGGGCAGAAAAAAACAGCCTATGCGAACTTTATGCGTGGCCGGTGTCATATGTCCTGACCTAGGATAGCGGACGATTACTGGAATTCCACTGGGAATCGGCTTACTGTCAATTCTCTAAGGCTGCAGGGTAAGCGGATGGGAATCCAAGTACAGTGTGGAATGCCGGAAAAACCTTCGAATTTGAGCCAATCGAGCCTCTTGGTGCTGAAGGTCAACTTCCCTCGGCACTCAGAGAAGCCGGCCGAGAATGATCAACAACCAAATTCCATCGGAATGGTGCGTGATGGAGACCACGGGGTGGGCGACAGACCAGAAGCCTCCCAAACGAAGGGGAATAACACTGAGCCCAAATACTCCGGGCCGAATTCACCGTACTCAACCCAAGCTATACCCATTTCCAATGATATGCGCAAACTTCAAAGTCGAGGCTCCGGCCAAGGTTCTGCCGGCCAGCTGAACTGGATATTAAATTGACTGTGCGAATTGAACCTTTCTGCATAGCGTACAGTTGGCAATATTTGTGTAACATGAGTTGAATTTGTTGGGCCAGTATTAGAGCAGATTCCATCCCTTTAATAATGTAGTTTAGAGGGTTCAATAGCCTAAAGGGTTGCCATTTCTTTCATAGATATTCTATGTAAGGTTCATCTTCGGAAAAAACGGCCAGTATTCAAGCATCTTCCTTGCTGGTGCTTCAATCAAACATTTCGTCGGTCGACGGGTCGTTTCGTTGGCCCATGTACTGTCCCATTCGTCGCCTGCTCAGCCCATGGTTCCGTACTTTCCAGGACCATCTCGAGTGCCATCTCAATGGCTCGAAGTTCCGCCGCATATACGGTGGACATATCATGATCACCCATCTGGCTATGAGCATGTTGATCCTCAAGGTTCACGACCGCAGCCGCTCCGATGCTTCCATCAATTCCGCAAGGGTCTTTTTCTTGGGTATTTTGTCAGGATCTGATTATGCTGTTCCACCACGACCTTTCTGTTGTTGACGATCACTTGCGGCGGCATCTGTCATGGTGCTAGGATTAATGCTTAAGCTTCCAATTGATGTTGGTTTGTTCGCGCACATGTCAAATTGTTTAATCAATCACTATCTGAATCTCCACTTGCCATGAGCATTTAACAGTTTTTCCAGTAATTTGGTCTCTCAGAGGCCGGAGAGCCGTTTTCTCCGATCCTCAACGTATGTGCTAATATTCCGTGCAGAACATCCCTCGGCTACCTGAAAATTGGGTCTGCATGCCAATTATTTCGGATACTAAGTGGAAGGGACATGCGCCAATTTTAGATCTGAGTTACCTTAGAAGCCTTCACAACACCGGATGAGTCTTTTGTTATACTTAGTCAAGAACCAGAGGCACTGGAAATTAGAGGAGCGATACATGGTTCAGAACTTCATCGGCCTCTCCAATATAATGGTTTTGTGGTGGCTTTTAGTCACTGACAAATTACTTCGTAAGCACATCTTGTTCTGCCAGGTACATGCTCAACGAAATATCCAATGCCCTAGTCTATAAAATAATCACATGATAATGATAATTCGGAAAGCTTACACCCGAAAGAAAGCGTTCACATCCAGATTGTCAAACACGCCAATGGCAGCCTGCGAGCTTTCGCACACACGAACATTGTGGATGCTTTGGGTGGGATGATTGCCACGACGAGAATCAGTGACGCCCAGTCTAAACCGACCACTATCTCTGATTTCGATTCGCTGACCAGTCCGTAGCAAGTGAACCTCTGAGCGGAGCTTATCAAGTAATTCTCGCGAGTAGTGGATCTCAGTAGCCTGCTCTTCAGTTTGACGAACGATGCGATTGAGGGCTACCAGCTTGTCCTGAAGCACTGCCCCATCCTCGTCGAACCCTCCGATCACATTTACAATACCATTCTCCCTGGCTAGGAGCTCGGCTTGTCTCTCCTGGCTGACGTTCTCCGACGGATACAGAGGAGAAAGTCTTAATCGAATTGCAATTTGTCAGCTGACTTCCATGAGATTTTCCCAATAATGATTTTCACATACAGAAACGGGTCGATGATGCTCGACAAAACGTCCTTCCACCGGGCTAGCCGTTTGCTCAGCAATTGCACCTCTAATTCTCCAGAAATACCGAAGCGATCACGGTTCAATTTGCGAGTTGTTCCACCCAACGAGCGGTCAATAAAAGCGCGAAAAGTCTTTTCAAACTCGTCGCATGTCTTTTCGCAGTCCAGTAGGAGTGAATGAACGTGCGCTTCGATGTCATCCCTGGCCGTGGCCGGGGAGTAGCCAGAGGCGAGTGAAAGGCGGTGTACAACAGTTTCAAGAGAAGCCAACTGATTCAAGAGGTCGGTCAAAGCCTCAGGTGTGTCTGCAGTTGTTTTGATTTGGTCTGAAAGAGCAATGATGCTCAGTCGAGCGTTTGTTGCAACCAACACAGTGGTGTAAGATACATTGATCGGGTCGGTCATTCTGAACACGCAAGTTCATACAAAGTCGAATGACCACAACGAGGCAGAGGAAGATAGGGTAACAAAAGAAAAAGATTCTTGTTGGGAGTGGAAAAAAGGCATTATATTTGGAGGGGTTCCGACCTTATAAGTGTTTGCACGTTGGAGTTTGCCTAGACTGCGGACGGCAGGCTCCTGGGATTCTGATTGATCAGTGTGAGAGATACGCATGAAACATACAGGACGGATGGCGATACGATCTTCGCGGGACCCACAGAGTGCATCTAGATTCCCCTGAACGCGAGGAAGCTACCATTTGTCCTGTATGCCTCGTGTATAACCCTGACACAAGGCACGGATGATCCCAGGAGCTACTTTTTACTCAAGATGCCAGAGACCTGCGCTTCTCCGGAGCCGCTGACCAACAAGGTGTAATAGTCTAACGTATATCGCGGGGGAACATATGCAGATTTCCACCTAGACAGCGGGCAGTGCAAAGGGTGTTTGGCGCAGCTCAGGTTCGGCTATGTTTTTCATTGAACGGGCAAGTTTCGTGTATATAGAGCACACTGCACATACGGTATGTGTCCGGAGTTATTCACCACTTCATTTTCTGCTTCCACTCTCTCATTATAAAAGAACTTCTTCTCATCCACTTACTCTTTAAATTCAGAGTAACAGTAGATTGACCACAGTCATCACAATCTCGATCAGTTCAAATATATGTTATTTTGAAGACTACAGCTGTGTTGGAAAATTCTCTATCGCAGAGTCATGGTGAAGGTGTGCTGGGTGCTTCGAATAAACTTTACGGACCGCAGGGCCGGCCCACAACGACCATTCCAGGAGCCAATCGATGCTTGGCAATTGGGGCAAAACTGGAGACATTTTTACGTAAGCCCTTAGATCTGTCCATAATTGGGATGTTTTCTACAAGCCATCTGCTAGAGATATCAGACCGGCGATCGAATCGGGCAGATTCCTTGGTAAGATCTCCGAATCGCTTAAGCCAAACGACGATTTTTACTGGAATTCTTTTCAAAATCAACAGCTCACTGCATTTGCATGATCTATCAAGATGCCTCAGGGCCAAAAAGGAATCTCACTATTATTTCACCACGAAGGTTGTTATGAGATAGCATGCAGTATAATGGACCAGCCGACGGCTGCCGATGTTGGCGCCCTGTTGGCTTCACTTCGGATCACACCCAGCATATAGTAGAGCGGTTCCTACCGCCACTACGGGACTTCGACCATACCATGCGACTGTTTGGGCCTTGGTTCCATGACAATTGTCAGATTCTGATCATCGGTCCAGACCATTTGACTGAGCGACCGAATCTTCAAGGCTGATGAGTACTACAAGTGGAACCGCCCAAACCAAACTCAACTGGAGGTGTGGATCTGTGCGATCCCCGCCAACTATAAGAAGAGTGTTGAGGAGGCCCAACGCCTCAGACACCGTTTTCATGCCGCCTCGCTATTCTCTAGGCAGGAGCGCGCAGAAGCGCTGCTTACCAGAGAAGAGCTTCTCGAACATGATCTTATTAGACAGATCAAGTGTACAGAGCCTCAGTCAAGCAAAGTATTCGGAGAGTACCTAGATGCAAAGGTTTTTGATCCTTTTGGTACGACACCACATCATCCTTTTCCTACAACACATCTAATTGGGCTTGAATTTGCGGGAATGAGATTTGGCATTGAGTGGAACATTAAGGAACCACTGTCAAAAGACCACTGCTGGAAGGCAAGACACGGGATTCCCTACATCGAGGCTGCTAGCTCTCGCGATACCAAGGTAGCTGTGAAAGACCGTTGGCGTCATCAAAAGACCCAAAGGCTGGTATTTCATTCCCAGTACCCAGATTGGGATCCACAGTCAACGGTTTCTATCCCTATCAGCTCGTTTTGAACCTTTGCGCTTCATCATATCAAATTTGTTGTCTGTTGGTCAGTTTGTAATAATGAATGAGTACTGTAAATAGAAAAACGATCTCACCTTGATACAGGATGGATCGAAATCAGTTTCACCACAATGCTCTCATAGAATCTTTCTCGAACCCTAATCTGAAACACACTAATCTATTTCTGACCTAGCCAAGTTTCGAGCACTGAATCGTATTGAAATATACTACCACGTGACAGAAGGCTCTTTAAATTACTTGTAATACCCCTGCCAAGATTACTAGTATTTCGCGAGTGCCAGTCTCGGTGCTTTCGCTTGCGGATGGAAGAAATGTAAACGCCCTGGTCTTTTTGCCAACAAAAGAAATATTGCCTCGCAGCATGTGGGCCTACAATCCATCAAAAGCCCAGATAAGCGATGCAAAAGGCTCTTCAACAGAAAGCACAATATGAAGGAGCATTTACGACGAGTCCATAATGTTGGCAGAATTGGGATGGGATTCCTACCATATCTCCCAGTGAGCAGACGCCCGTCTGTTAAGCATGTTTGCGCTAGAAACCCTGGAGACCACACAGGTCAATACGAACCCCATATTTATGCTTTTATTTACAACTGCGCCCTGAAACGGACGAAGTGAGAGAAACGGAACTTAATTAACACGGATGTACATGCGTAATCTCGCAAAAAGAAGAGGCTTAACTACGTATGGTCCGTCTGCCACGCGCGCGGCCTGTTCGCTCTCCGCCTTGCCTTTTCGCATTTGGTGTATCAGGGCTTCAAGGTTCGGCGTCTATATCTGTAATGTACTGTAAATTCCCATTGCATGATTGCTTCGCTTTCTGTTCTCAAACTTTCCTTTACAGTGACGCTCTGTGTTTTATTGCCACTTGTACCACTTTGTGCCTCAACAATTCTCTTCGTCTTTCCCGTCCATTCCCTCGTGTGTGTAAAGTCGTTCGATGATGTTACAGTACTAGCTACGGGACTTAGTTTGCCTTGCGAGATAGCAATCTCTTCTAGGACAATTCGCTATTCAATTGGAACGTTGTTGTAGCAAACTAGCCGCTTATCACCTCTAACACGATTCTCCAATTGGATTTTCAGATTATTGTACAAGATTGTGATTATCAATTTACTTTGAACTGATTCAACACTCAGACTGTTATGTAAATGGAATGCCCTGAAACCTGCAGCCTATCGATGGACCACCTGAGTACCGGAATCTGAACGACTGGCACTATTCAACCCCTGGCGTATCCGCAATGCGGAATATGTACTTGATAGCACTTGCTTTTCCGGCCTTCAAGTCTTTCAAGGCTTCCTCAACTCCTTCCAAGCCACGCGGTCTAACTTCGAAAGGGTGACCATGGAAACTGCCATTGTGCAATGCTCTTGTGAAGTACCTGGAGAACATAAAACCCAGTTCCTCGTTGTTCTCAAATTCAGGTTGCTTGTGCACCGATCCCACAGAAGTAACCGATTTGATTGCAGGTGATACGTCGAAGTCGTTGGGCAGTGTAAAGTCAATCTGTCCGCCCGGGGTGACTGACTGCTTCAATACCTCTGCACTCTCTGCAACAATAACAGCATCCAGTGCGTGGTGCACAGAAGAGTGACCATTTCGTTCAATGCTGCTCCTGATCTTCTTGACCGTTGCCTCTACTCCTTCACGGTAGTCGACCACTGTATCTCCTTTGCTTCGGTCAATGAGGGTTTCCACATAATGAGACCCTTTTCCTGCAATGGCAATGATTGGATGGATGTTACTATTGCATGCCAGTTTGAGAGCGAATGAGCCGACAGCCGTGCTTGCACCATACACGATGAATGGGGTCGGTTTCACTGAAGGTGCCCATGGGGGTGGGAAGCGATGGTGAGCGTACAAGGAAACAGCAGCAGTTAAGGCTGCAAGGGGGATCGTTGCAGCTTCTGTTTATCTTGATCAGATATATACTGATTCAAAAATAGTTGTCTCGACCGTACCTTCAAATGACGTATGCTTAGGCAAATGGAAAGTTGTATGACTCCAGGCAATTGCGTACTCAGCATACGAGCCACCGGGCATACACATTTCGTGGAATGCTGCAACACGGTCGCCTGCCTTGATAAGAGGTCAGCGTATGGCAATATAAGACTAGTTAGGCGGCTCACCTTGAATTCGACTACGTTGGATCCGACTCTTTCAATCACGCCGGCAATATCATCTCCTTGGTTCAGACCCTTCTTGGCCTCAAGCATCATTCCAAACCTGGTGTCTCCAGATGCTGCAAGATCTGGGACTTTCCAATCCTTGGGATTCGACCCAGACACGACCACTTTAATAAGTACTTGGTCATCGTTTAGCTCTGGAATTGGGCTATCCACGAGCTTCACAGTGGGACCAGCGAAATTGATTACCTCTTTCATTTTAGTTTGTTGTTGTAATCGACGTTCGGCAAAGTGTAGGATGGCGGCTGCTGATTTATGCTAGGTTCAGAAGGCAGACTTATATATCCCAAGCTCGGCTTGATCGGAACATGAATGATGTCATGGTTATGACTTAAGCCATACTTTTTAATCAGTAAACTATGGAGCTTTTGAATTCGTCTTTGTAATGCATACTTAGCTCGTCTTCTCTTCTCTAGAATATTCATGGTTGAGTGGAGTACTAGTCATGGAATGGCAATGGGATGCCGGTGGGACGCCGGTGGGATGCCGGTGGGATTTTCCCTAGGTGCAATTATCCATAGTGACAAATACTCCTACCGGATAAACGGGCATCCGTTTCTGGCAACTGTGGTATCCCCTAATTACTCAGTGTAACGTCACGGCAGTTGTTCTAATTCTACCGCGAACAACGTTAACAGAAACGTATGGTATTATCTTCTCCCTTGTCTTTCACCACTTAACGACTGATTTTGTTTTCGATGTATTCCCGATCATCTTCTTCGGCAGTGTGGATACAGTTGATGGAGGAAACTGTTTAGCCCCAGAACACTAGATCATGTCAGCACTGGGATATGAAAGATTTGTTAGGCTCTAACCTTGGTTTGCTTTAGGCGATACTCCGTGCAAGCAAGAGAGACATTGTGTCGCTTGTCAATCGATGGACGTGGTATCTGTGATTGGGAGGGTGAACCTTTCTCCATCGGCCGCAGCGGCCGCAAGGAGGGTGATTTGTCATGGCTGGCTCCCGGGACTCATGAAGTCGGAAAAAATTATTCATTTTAGATGTCCATTGTAACGAGGTTGGTGATGGGACAGACTTAAATGGTAAATTCGCACTGCTGCTTCTCTTTGTTTGCTAGACAAAGAGCCACCTTGGCGACTTTTTGAGATAAACTGAAAGCCCGCGGCCATTTATGAGACCAGTCCTATGCACATTACCGGTTCTGGGCTCAATGCTTGAAGTCTCAGTAGCAAAAAAAAGAACTCCGACGCCACAACATTTTGACCTGTCAGCCTTGATTTGGTGGCATATTATTAGATACTTCCCGTTTTGGCAGGAGCGCGTAGTTTAATTGGGCAAAGTCTCTCGGCCACCTATGCACTAATCATTCAGCCTATTTGATTGATGTTGCGACTCTATTTAGTGGTCAATAATAGAGAACACTCCGGATTGCACGCTTGCTGCGGCCAGAAGCCTGTGCCATCTGCGATACAGATAGTGCTACGGTGCCGACAATGTCATGCATAATCTGGTGCTTCGAAGGGGCTAGGAAAAGCGCTATACAGGTGTGAACACTCGCGCTTTATTAAAAATCTGCATGTACAAAAGGTGATTTTCAAATTTAGCCTTCTTGCTCTCTGTCCTGCCACATCTCCAAATAAGTAGTCATCCGTCTATTTGGCTTGTTTGCTTGGTCAATATTCTGGGACCCCTAAAGTCCTTACGAGTCGAATACAGAGGTTATTTTCAAACCGTTATTTACGAGTGTAACGAATTCCTGCCAAGAAAGGGGTCCAGGGGTAGGGTAACCGTAACGGATATAGCGTGTTTTGGAACAGGGTTCGAGAGAGAATCTCTGTGTGTAGGTGGTGAAATTGATTTCGATCCTCCCTGTACAGCCCAAGTAAAACTACTTCCATACGTGTACAATGCCGTCGGCCTCTAGGGCCCGGTGAAACCGATCCAAGAGCGGTAGACAGAACCAGAGACACAGGAGATGCCAGCTGACGTCCCCTACGATTTCACGGCCCGCTTAGCCAGAGGTCTCAGAGCTACAGATGCCTGATGGCTCAAGGCTATACTGGACGTGTTGTCCAGAAACCATCGAGTCTGGGAACCTGATACAAGCTAGAAACCTATTACAGGGCCCTAGGAACAAGTATCGTGATCCCGGGAGCCAATGCCTTACATCCAATGTATGTGATGTCATATCAAATGATACCTGGATGTATTGTAGGGACGTTGGCAAAGCTATACCCTCAGAAAATAGTTAAATAGAAGACATGGTCGCAATGACTTGAGACTCTCAAGCCCACCATTCAATTACCGGCAGTGGTCAAACGTCTTCGTGGCCAGAAAGGATCAAATGCCTCCACAGAGAAGGTCAATGGTGTTGCAGAGCCACTTCCCATTATCGAACGTTCATCGAGGTCAGTCGCTAGGGTCGAAGTGTCATGTTATTCCTGACTAACATTGGCTCAGACAGACAACATCCAACTCAAAGAGTTGAGGGCATCATTACTAGCATATATGCTGAGATGTCAAGAATGCAGCATGAACACAAAGAGGCAATTCTTATGCTGCAAAACCACGGCAACATGCTGCGGGCTCTCACAAATGAAAAAGCCAGTTTGGAGGAGCAAAATAAGTCTTTGTTTGAACATATCAAGATCCTTCAGGGAGAAAATTGCGCCCTAGAGCTCAAGAACAACGAACTGAAGTCCGAATTGGCAAAGAAGAGGCTGCAGTACCCAGAGCAGCCCGATGGAAAGCAACCTTAGAGATCTACTATGATTAGCTCAGATTGACCGGATCTTGTATCAAACTCTGAGGTATTCAGACTTACCAGCTTTCAACATTGTTACCCGCGAGACTTGCATATGAAGAAAGAAGAGGTATACAGAAGGATTAATGATGCCATGACTGGTCACAGGATAATATACCGGAGAGGAAAATACCCAATTTTGTATGTTAGATCAAAGATTATTTTGCTGCGGGGATCGCTCTAACAGGGATTACGTGGAAGGCAAACCGCGTAATCGGTCGTTTGAGCCCGCAAGAAACATGCCGCAAGAAACCGCAGCTGTCTTATCACCCATGGCCACAAAGCCAACTTTATTGATAGAAAAACAATGACTATAACACAATACTCATGCGTCTCTATAAGAATAACTGGCCCTCTCTCTAGGCTGACAGCCAAAAGAATGCCCCCAATCGGGTCAAAGTGGTATCGATGGATTGCTGACACCTCTCTCCCTAACTTGTATGCCATCTCAGCGGCCATAATCATAGCAATTTGCTTGATCTATTGGCTTGCACGTGATGTGTGGCGCTGGGCATGGACAAGACGCCATGTGTTCTTTCGTCGCCCTTTCCGGTCGAAAATATTAATACCTTGGAGACGGTTTGCCTTCGTCCACCTGCCAAAATGCATGCGTTGGCTGGACATCTCAAATTACTGGCAAGCGCTAATCCTGGCTGTCATGCTGGCGGGGAACATTGTTGGCCTCCGACTTCGAGCCCATTCTTGGGCAGAAGCACAGAAAAGGGCTGGCTCCATGGCAGTCATCAACCTCGTGCCTTTGTGCACCGGTATCAGCTTTGGTCTTCCGGCGGATCTGCTCCACGTGGACCGCCAGATGCTCGCGTGGTTCCATCGCTGGGTAGGTCGCATTTGCGTGCTCCATTCTCTGTTACACTGTTCGCTGCTCGTTACTGTCGCCAGAACGATGGACTTGGCAAACTCACGATACATAATTCCAATAGCCGTAAGTAAAGCATACTCCGAGGCTAAGTGTGCCTATTGCGCAGATCAACATCTCATCAAATAAAGGCAGGTTGTGCTCTCGTTCTCATGATACCTGTTACTTGTGCGGCGGCCCAACGGCGACACCTACAATTTGCGATGAAATGTCACTACCTTCTTGCAGCAACGGCGATTGGCGCGCTTATATACCATCTGGTGGAGCGACACTCACTGTATCGGTGGTACCTGGTAGGCGCTATCTGCTTGTGGATATTCATTAGCGCTCTTGTCTGCACAATGGCCGCATGGGATCAGAAACCTTGGAGATCGTCCCGAAATAAGGTAGTCATGAACTCTGTAAGCCATTTCCTTTGGCTTGACATAGAGCTACCTCTCAACCGAGCGATCCGCCCTGGCCAGTATGTGCAGCTTTGGATGCCACGAGCCGGCTTTCGCGCTTTCTTTCAGCTTCCTCAGTTCTATATTGCATTCTGGGAAGATGGACCAACTCAAAGAATAGTCCGTATGGTAGCAGAGCCTCAACCTGGGCTTGCGCGAAAGCTGTACCACGAAGCACTGAGATCCCCAGTCAAGCAGTCGGCCATCATACTCGGACCGTACGGACACCCTCTCGATTTCTATCGGTTCGGTACAATCCTCTTCGTGGTAGAGGACATCGGGTTTTTCCGAGCGCTTTCATACATTGAAATGTTGGTGGAGGCCAGCCGCAAGCGAGAAGTAATGGTGCGAAAGCTAGAGGTTCTCTGGAAGCGACAAGTTGGCAAAGATGGTATGTTTCTATCTTGGACTAGTACTTTTTTAGAGTCTGAAAGGTGGCTGAAGTTCTGGCAGAAAATCCACAATGGGTAAATGAATGGATGCAAGACCTTTTCAATCGCGACTGGAGATCGTTCAAGGTGAGTTTTCTGCTACTGCAGCTCATTCTGTGCGCTGCGACCTGACCGTGCTTCAGATTTTGCGGTTCAGCATCTACTGCCCGCGTACTCAATCAAGTCCCCAGGAAAACCTTTCCTACGAGCACAACGCAATGCTTTGCTACTTTTATGGCTCGATCAAGATCGAGGAGGAAGTTGCGCGGTATCTCAACAATCAACGCGGAGCCATGGCCGTAGCGGGTGAGTTTCCCAAGTCCAACCTCCATCCACTTCAGTGCGCTGAAGAGCGCAATATTACGGTTACGGTGCTAACAATCTACGCAGTATGTGCAGGTCCGTCAATAAGTGAGGCCGTGACGAAGACTGTACAGCCACACGCAGGAAGAAATCTCCAGCTGATCGTTCTCGACCCCGATATGAGCCCTGCACCGGATGGGAATGACGATTTGCCCGGCAGCGTCGAGTCTGCAGTTGACCGCCAGGATCCAACACACACAGCCTCGGGAGCGGGAGAGGGCAAGCGTATTCACCAAGAACGACGAATTCCAGTGGACAACCGTAAGCTACAGTATTCATCGCCCACAAAAATTGATACGGAAACCGGAAAAGTCGAGATGAGCAACCACTCGAAGTGGGTAGAAAATAGATTGGCACAAGGGCACTGAAAGTCTACTATCACAGTTACCGAACCATGAATCCCTACCAGCGTCATTCTGCACCTTAATAGCCTAGTTGGTTTCAACACTTCACTCAAATTCGCCTACGCGCACCGCGTGTCGGATTCGCTGCGCCTGCCTCTAGTGGAGGCCTCTTCGATTGAGGCGGTCTCAACACAATGGTTGAGTTTTCAGCTCATTGGCAATCGTATCTTCCGCCGGCAGTTCATGTATCACAGGGAGGGCACCATGGAAAGCTTGGAGCCTGGCCTTGTTCGCCGCACAGCCGGTCCGCCTTCGCGAGCAGATTCCTTCTCGAGGGAATATTAATGAATCTTCTAGGTGATTGGTATGATAGAAAGACGATCGCCGGCCATGGCAAAGCTGGCAGCGAAGCGTGCCGATCTCGGGTAGGCTGGTGTGTGCATTTCGTCTCGTAGATTCAGCACACTCCACAGGAGGCACTGAACCGCCTTCTTTTCGAGAAGATTTCGAGGGGCGAAAAGATCTCTTGGTTCTATTGCTTAGCATTTTATTAGTATTTGAAGCACGTAAATCATGAGCTCCTCATACCTTGCATCCATCCACAATTTAGTGCCAATAAACCAATTCATAATTATTTGGGCCGAGAGATTAGCTGAAGGCTTTAAAGAAGTGAGCCCTAAGTGGCGCTGATTATAAAGTATACGGGAGAATATAGAGCTTTGGCATTAGTTCATGGAAGCGTTTCCACCCTAAGTCAAGGTATATCGTTGATCGCAACCCAAACCATATTAGGTCCTTGGGATCCAGAAGGACACACGCATAGGTAGTTAGGCGCGAAGGCATATCTTGACCAGGAATTGAACAGGGAAAATTGTCTTTCCGCATTGCTGTACTGTATGCAAACGACACGGTTCAACTATGGTTTGCTTCTTAACGGTTTGCTTCATAACGGTTTGCTTCTTAACGGTTTGCTTCTTAACTGCCGGTTGGGAACCCGGTTGAATCCGCAACTTTTAAGGCCCACAAACGCGCCCAAACATGTAGGATAACTGAATATAATCTTCCATCAACTGAACCACTGCACTATCGGTCCTCAGCTTCTTTGCCCAATGGAAAATGGTTGGTACAATTATTTGAGGGACTTGAGGTCCCCTGTTCAATCCGACCGGTCATTGTCCTCACTGACGTCATTACTGTTCCCAAAATAAAAGCGGTCAGTTCCCTAACCCAGCCTTCACAATGTCCTCGTTTGTAAATCATGCAATCCAAGATACTGGCAGCAATGATCACTCTAGCTATAGCTACCGCTGTAGCGGCTGCGCCAAGACCTGAACTTGATGTTCAGCCTGCCATCAACGTAGTTAATTGAACATTCCGTCTCGCGGCTTCGCTGACTAGCTTTAGACGCTTTTTGCTCCACTTCAACTCATTGCCTGGACACAGCTTAACTGCACCGGAGATTTCGGTGTCACCCAATTCACTGACTCGGTTCTGGCACGAAATATCTCCAACGCCTACATTTCTCGCAGTCTACAACTTAATCGCTCATTGACACAGCAGGAGCAATTGGATATATCCGTCACGAGTAACTTCAATTCCTGGTACTCCAACAAAGACCAGCTGTACTACAACAGTGCATCCTGTAGCAACTTTTGGCAGACCTATTACGCCGTGAATGGAACCACCGCATGTTATAACACGCCCCCATTTACCTGTCACCGGTTGTGGAACAACCCAGGATTGCCCATGATACTTAGTAAATGAAAGAAGAGATAGGAAGGAAAAACAACACCATCATTGCATTTCTTTAAGTCATTGCCTACCGATCTGAGTAGCCTCCGAATTAAACGAAATCACAAAATTATAGGGACATCGAACATCACAGTAGGTTTCCGCACTAGCCAGTATTACACACCGATACCCAAGTTGGCTTTTACACGATCGACAGCATGAATGTTCTTTCCTGAATCAATCCAAACAGCGCCAAGAATGGCTTCCACCGTCGTCGCACGAGTGCCATTAGTGATCTCACCCTTTTGTGCCGGTTGGCCGGTTATAAAGTCGTCCAGCTCACACGCCTCACCTTTGCAGCTCAAATGTTTGTTGCAAGCATTCTTTCGCAGTATGTGATCCCCATCTTCTGTGTCTAGTCAGAACTCATCATAAATTAGCGATTTCACAGTTCAACGTGCCGATGGTATTTTCACTACCGTACCATTCGTCCAGAAGTGAAGTGGACAGAACGGAGTCTCCAACGAGTGCCAGACGCTTGTTGCCTTGCAGCGGACGAGTTCCAGCTGGATGCAAAGCCTCTTCTAACAATGGAGTGGAGTTGAAGTGGTAGCCAAGTCGGTCTTGGAGCTCCTCCATTTCCGTTGAACCTGTTGTCAAATATTCATTGAATGAACGGTCTGAAATTTGACTCAGAAATCCCACAGACCATAGATCTTATGTATCTCAGTGTGACAAAAGCCACATTACGAGGTATCTAGTTGAGAGCTGGCATATGGAGGATGAAGTCATTAATAAAAGGCATTTTCCGTTCACGGATGAGTCAACCCTTGCTTAGGTTGGATCAAAGATTAAGACGACCGAAAATACACGAGAGGCGAATACTGGAAACAGAAAGCCACTATATTGATTGGATCCGAATTGGCAAAGGCGAATAAACTATTGCCACAGAAGCAGACACCCGGAGAACAAAAAGGTGAAACTACGCCCTTCACGGCGAGATAGAACACCAGCGGTGACGTGACGAGTTTCATTTAGAGGCAAACGAAAAAAGGCAAAGAAACCGTGTTGGAAAGCCCTATAGGATCGCTGACAAGCAAAGCTTGGGTCAAAGGCGAAGAATCCTGAGGCAAGCCTTCAAGCACCACGCCCAACCGTCACGCTGAGAACTGGCGACCCACGAAATTAGGATGCTCAGATTTCCCAGTTTCCCACTATATTCTGCACAAAGTCTTGTGGATCAAGAAATGGCATGGACGTAGAAGGGTGAATGCCAGATAATGGAACCGAATCCCACATCGTGGAACTGTCTGTGACCTCTACCCGCGGCCATATAGCTAACTGAAACCGTGCTTGTCCAGCGCTTGATATGTTTTCCATAGTAGAATGCTGCGAGAGAATGTCACTTATTTGACCACGTATCCTTCGTAAGTTGCCCAGCATTGACTCAACCCGCGGAAGGAAGAACGGATACTCTTCGACAGCCTCTTCAGTCTCCGTACTGAACTTATTGAGTCGGAGTTCTATCCAGTTCACCCGCTCAAAAAGCAGAAACGCGGATACATAAAGGAAAATATCATCGGCGCACGTGTCGTGGGATAACGGATCCGGCCCTGTCCAGCTGAAGGCGCAGAAATTCTCATAGCTGGGGTAGAAGACATATTCGATGGCAGGAACCCTCTTATCCCCATGCTGAGTATACTCTAAGCATCCGCCGATTGGTTGGTTTGAGCACAGAGAGCTACCATTTTCTGCGGGGCAAGGTGGCAGTGTCGGCATATTGGGAAATTCTCGCCAAATGGACTCAAGATCTAGATCCAAATCATAGTCTGAAGGGACCATCAGCGCCGACATTAAGTATCGAAGATCATCCAACTAACCAATTTGATCAAGTTGTCCCATTATCCTCATGCAGCAAGTGCCACGTTCGCGATGAAAGACAGTTTATGGAGGTAGGATATGATGGGGTTTTATTGGGTCTATATGTAGAGGCCAGGGTGGCTAGCTTCTAGGTTAGAGAAAGCCCATTGAAAAGAAGAAGAAAGAAAAAGAACTAGGTCCGAGAGGCTTGACCATGTTCAAGAGAAGGCTATGTTACCAAGTGATGGGTTCTCCTGGTTTACGTAGAAGCAAACGGTGAATGATCCAATTTCCGTTGAAAGTGTACATTGGTGGTGAGGTGTCAGGAATGCCCGCCCCACTCATACTCCGTTGAACTTTTCCACCGGTCGTTCCTGCCGGCGTGGTTCCACGCAAGAACCACAAGACCGGTCACACTGTGCTATTTGCTATTACACCCCAAGCCTTGGTCAACTGAAGCTAGCGTGTTTCAATTTGCCCCTGCATGAACTCATTGTAGCTCACTTATCTGACACGAGTGTCTGTCACTATTCTGCAATGTTCCGAGAACGCCCTGGTGTACAGAGAGAAAGGCCTGACGACGATCCCACAGCAGCAGTTCTTGATGATTGCAGCATTGCTGAAGCTTTTTGTTCTCCTCCGCCAGCCATTTTTGTGAGTTTTGCAGGTAGCGACGTTCCTCTTCCAAGCGTATTTTGCCGGCCGACTTGATCGTGTAGCACTCCCACAGACACA